GAGGCGATAAACTTTGTAGCATCGGATAAAAACTGGATAATTGACTCGGGGGCATCAGTAGAAGAGGCATGGACTCACTTCAGGCAGTTACACAGTCAGTTTGCTCAACCATATATACCCTGCACAGTCTCGAAGAAGAAGCACGGCCATCCCTGGATAGGCAGGGATATTCGACGTTTACTAAGAAAAAGAAGGAATTTTGGAACGTTGCCATCAGCCTTGGAGCAGCAAGTAATATGGAATGCTACAGGACGGTAGGAAATATGTGTATAATTAAAACCCGGGAAACTCATGGAAATTTTGAAATGCAGTAGGCACAATCTGCGATCGGGCAGCCTAAGGGACTATTCTCGTACATAAATTACAAAACAACGACTCAGTATTGGATTCACAACCTAGTTATGGAAGGGAGTGGATTTGAAATTATAGAGGATGATCAGGAAAAAGCAGAGGCTATGAAAAAATATTGTGAGGCATTTTTCATTCATGAGCCTTTTCTAGACGAAGAACTAGACCAAAAAGCAAAGTCAACAAAGCGTCTGCTTACCGTGGACTTTGTTCAAGACGATGTACTCAAGGCTCTTATCACCTTGGATACGAAAAAGTCAACACGAACGGATGGACTATCATTATTCTCATTATTATTAATGGATTTATTCAATATTATAGTTTTGAGACAATATAGAATTCTCAGCACAGGGTATTTCAACAAGTTACTCACGCAACAACAAAAAACAGTAACGAATACAAAAAAAGGGAAATGTTTTTTTCTAAAAAAAGAAAATAGAAAAAAAGATTAAAAAACCTGAAAAACTGTACACTTTTTAGAATTAAAGACATGTTAAGAATGCAAGTTATTGACTAGGTTGACTCTAACAACCTGTTCGTCACAGAGTATATTTGCTTGGTAAGGTATTCTGGAACTTTTGTACTTTTGCTTGCGTGCATGGATTTCAATGTAATTACGTCTCGTTCTACCAGAAGATATACAAGGAGAAAGGTAAGAGTGAAGGAGATGGTTAGTACCTGATAAAATAACACCTGCCAGCAGTTTGCATGATTTTAAATGTCTATCCACAACCATATTAATTATGATATCGAAAGATTCACCACACATCTTGCCAACTGCCTTCAGCCCTCTCCGCAATACAGCAAAGTCTTTCCTCAAAAGCCCGCGAAAGAATAATGGAGAACAGTAATGAATAATAAGTAATATGCAAGAATTGATAAATTATAAGAGTAAATGACGAGTAAAGAGCATGCAATCTCTTTATGTAGCACGTCAGACGGAAAATCTTTTTCGATAACAATAAAACGTGAGAAGATCAAGGGAGATCAGAGGAAAAGGTGACACCAAGATAATTGACCTTCGACACTGTGTTTATCAAAGAGTCACCGATGGTACAAGCATTATGGGATCTCAAAATGGTGTTTATATTCCGTTCATGTCTCATGCTAAAGTTAACAGCTTGACATTTAGACGGATTAAGTATAAGACCATTACCAACAGACCAACAATCGGTACGAGACAAAAACTCATTCATTTCTATTGGATGTAAAGAGGAAGAGATAGGCATACATACAGTGAGATCATCCGCATATTTCACAAAAGTGTTTACTGTGAAAGATGACAGATCATGCAGAAAAAAAGAGAAAAGAATAGGTGAAAGAACAGCTCCTTGTGGTACACCTTCATGAGACAGTAGAGACTCTGAACACTTTCCTCCAAATACAGTGTACTGTTCCCTTCCAGAGAGGTAGGAACATAGCCAGTTGGTTATCCAGCTGTCATTGTTGACGCTGATTATCTTGTTAAGTAAACGTTGCCTTGGTATAGAATCAAAAGCTGAAGTATAGTCCAGAAAAGCACATCGAACATACTTCTTACCCTTTTCTAAGTTGAACACTACGTTGTGATGCAGAACAGCAACAGCATCTAAAGTGCTTCTTTTGCGTCTGTAAACAAATTGATATGGATCAATATGCTCTTTTATCGCAGGCTGAAGGGGAAGTATTAATAATTTTTCCATTGTTTTGAGGGAGGGTGAAGTTAATGCAACAGGTCTAAATTTTACATTCTTATCACCAGATGCTTTCTTGGGTACAGGAATTATCTTCATCTTTCTCCACATTTTTGGTATGAGATTAGATGAGAAGGATCTGTTAAAGATAGCTGTGAACAGATAACATAGGACGTCAGCACACTTTTTAAAAAGGATGTTTGGGATACCATCAGGTCCCAAACATCGAGATGAATTAAGGGACTAGAGACATCTTCGTACATCAGTCTCAGTGAAAGTAGGAACACAGCTATTATTTGAACCCGTGGATAGAGGGAGCATCACATCAGATGACTGACGCACAAAAGACTTGTGTAAGTCACAAACATTCAGCTGGTTACCGCTTCTAAAGTGGCTGTCACTTGTAAGTTCTTTAAAGACCATTTAGCTTACGAACTTCATTCGAGTTCTTCTCCTTGTACATTCTTTCTTTCATCCTCCGTAGTCGTTTTAGTTATGAAGATGTAAGTCGATCAAAATTTACAAAAATGGTTTCAGTGGGACAACAAATATCAAAACAGAATTTAAGGTAACAAGTGATAACATCAGTAGTGTTTTCGAGTGAGTCATCTGTAAATAATTCCCAGTTAGTCGTATGAAACATGTTTTTCCGATTTCGGATATTTTCTTCTGAGTAATTCCTATATTTGACTTCCTTGGTTTGATGTAAGAGTGTACTCATCCCATGCTTTCCATATACTTTAGGTAGAATACGAATTATACAGTGATCTGAGTTAGATAATGGGGCACGTTTACGAGTCGCATATATACCCACATCATTAATGAAAACGAAGTCTAAATGAGCATCCAAACGAGTAGGAAAATCTACTACATTTTGGTGACCTAGTGACGTGATGAAGCTACAGTCACATGAATTGAAATCACCACATACAAGTGGAAGTGAATCACTGAAGGCAGTAACAGCCAACTCAGTGAATTCATCAGCGAAAACAGATAGTGCAGATGATGTGCAATCTGGAGTAACGTAGATATTGGTAACATAAACATATTTGTATTTATTCAGATGTTTTGGACAACATCTTAGAGTTAGACAATCGATAAAGTCATTTGAAAACTTAAAACACACAAACGAAGATCGACACCAGTTTATGTTTACAAACGTAGCTACACCGCCACCACACCTCTTTTTATTGTTCGATCGATCCTGGCGATAAATTTTAAAATCACGTAGTGATACTAGGCAGTCATTCTATAAATCATTTAACCAAGATTCTTGAATTGTGATGACACCACAATTACGGTACGTATTATGACTAAGTAGGAATTGCAGATAGTCCACTTTGTTGATTAGTGATCGGCAGTTAAAATTTAGCAGCTCGGGAATCGACATACGATTAATGTTCATTCTCTTTAACGCACATTGCCAACCACCACGATGTATTTTATAGTAATTTTTCGTAACTTGTGCAGCGAAAGGTCGTAGGCTTTTCATAAAAGCGCCTGAATAGGTTATGCAATTAATGAACATAATTATAATTTAAGACAAACGAAAAAACCCAGATTAGTTGTTGAAATAATCAGATGGCAGAAACAGGTAGCCCAGATATTTAGGCAGGCCGCCAAAATCCCGAGACATATTGCATAGCATATTGCAGCCCCACTAACTGTGATATTCAAAGTGTCACTTGGACGGCTGCAATTAAACACAACTCAATACATATTACATACGGGCTGGAAAGATGCAGTCGTCACTCCAATACATAACACAGGACCAAGACAACTTCCATGGAACCACAGATCTGTCAGCCCGGTTAGCGTCTCAATTAAAATACTGGAAAGAATTGTCGAAAAGACAATAATAACATCTGTGGAAACCAACAACTTGTTAAACAGCGAACAACATGGTTTCGGAAAACGTTTATCTTGCACAACAAACCTCCTTATAACAAGGGAGAAATGGACAAAGGCTCTAGACAATGGAAAACCAGTAGATATTGTCTAAAGCCTTTGAAAAGGTGCCGACAGACAGACTGCTAATGAAGCTAGAAAATGTTGGTATTGCAGGAACTCCGCTACAATTACTTAAGGATTTTCTAGTAGGTCGTAGACAGAATGTAAGAATAAATTCGAGGTGTTCTACCTGGAGACCAGCACTTAGTGGAGTACCTCAACGTTCTGTACTAGGTCTTTTATTTTTTATATTGTATATAAATGATCTCCCAAGTATAGTTGAGTCGCCGATGTTATTGCACGTTGACGATGTAAAAATCTGGTGCTTACGCACTTTAGGCAGACCTAAATATTGTGGTTGACTGGTCTAAAGAGTGACTGATGTCTATCAACACGGAGAATCGTGTCTAAATGCACAGTGAGGATACAAAGGTGATTAGTTACAGCATAAGGGATGTGCCTGTACCGGTGTTCTGGTCTCACAAGGATCTTCGGGTGACAGTGAGTTATGATTTTCAGACCACGGCCCACTGTCTAGAGGTCACAGCTTAAAAGGTTTAAAACTATATAGGCTTCATCAAGTTAGCTACTACAACGTTCACTGCAGTATACACAACCAGAGTGAGAATCAAGCTCGAAAACTGAATTCGGGCTAAAAGCACCTCTTCAAAGGTGACTCGAACATCCTAGAAAAAGAGTGGAGACAACCACCCGTGCAACTCCAGAACTCTGGAGTTTACCACATGAAGGGTGGCTTGAAAAGCTAGACTTCTTTACTCTATCCTACTTCAGATTGGGAGGTCATCACTTCTGGGAACCTGTTATCCGAAGCAGTGATGTTCGCATTTTACATTGACTCATTCGAGAGAAGGCTAGAAACCCAACGAGGCATACTAAGAAAGGAATAATATAGGCCATAATTTTTCTATCCATACTACACAAGCTTAATCTATTGGACGTATATGCAAACTTACGAGCGTTTTTGAAACAGTTTGGTACTGCTGGATACAGTGAACCTTTAACAATCAAATGAGTTCTGTCGTTAGAAGAGCTTCTCATGCTGGTAGTTGGTATTCTTCAGACCGTATGAAATCGTTTTCTGTTAAAGTTTCTTGATGACGTTCAGGTATTAAGCTTAACAACCAGTTGCAGAAATGGTTGTCTGAAGTAACTGTTGATCGACAACCAGCCCGTGCTATCATTTCACCGTATATGAACCACTTATTTTGACGTGATATATTATAGACATGCGGGTTATGACTATTCGGGGCCTTGTGCTGCGTTTGCGTACAAACAAATAGACCCTCGTCACATGTAAACTGCATATATACAAATAGCTTTGCCCAGTAAACGTATTTTCGTATTAGGTCCTGCACATTATATGAGCCTCAGAGGAAAATGCGCTCTATCCACAGCGGACTTCTTCGAGACTCCATTGTACTCCTTGTCAATTGGTAGAGATGGTAAGTAAATACTTTCAGGGCTGTGTACCAATTTCTCTTTTAGTATACCAAGACCTCGAAAAAACAGGAGAGTTTGTTAGTCTCACTTTGGACAAAGACGAAGAAGAGCATTCCATAGAAATGCAAATGCCATATATAGCAAAAATGATGGAAGGGTAACTTCCTGTTAAATCTTTATTTAGTCGATATTAATTTTTAAGTAAATATATAACCAATGTATTTTGTAAATAGTTATTAAATTGTTGTCTCTTGCTGTTATAAAGGCTTATAATGAACTGAATGTAGGAACGAATTATTATTACTAGGAGTTTGAGTCAAAACATTGGAGACCGGTAAAGCCAATGGTAAGTGTACATAATAAAAACAATGTCGTGATTCCTCATGTAGTCAATTTTCGAACAGTCAGTCATAAAAATTGTTGGCTTAGCTTATGGGTTTTTTGGAAGTTTCACCAATAATGAGACTTTTAAGGTGTATTCGGCCATAGGGGCATATTTTTATTAGTCTTACTTTTATTTAAGATTATGGAGTCCGAATACTACTAGTCGTTTAGTCCTTAAGAAAGTCACCATGTTGACCAGTTTGGCTGTATGTTTTTGCACTAAATCCCTTCCTGTTTTTCATACAAAACTGGAAATATAAACCCGTTTTACAAATTGCTTTGTAACTATAACGATCAGTCTCATGACCAAAACCACGTGTTAAAATACATGTGGAAGCTAAGCGTTCTAAATTATGTCAATCTGTATTCCATTTTGCTCAAATCTGATTGACTCGGTTGGTGTAGATCTTCATAATCTTTAGGCGCTTAGTGCCGTTGGTTGTAATCCAAATATTTTCGCTGGCAGGAAAATTTTGGCAAATATTTTCTAGAGGTTCGGGATCAATTTTAGTTTTAGTAAAGTTCTAATAGTGCAAACTAGAGATGTCCATATTAATAGCATTATGTTTAAAACAAGTTAATTCCCACCAACTTTGTACTATGGACTTCAGTTGCCTTTTTAGGTGTTATAATTGTTATCTTCCTATCCGCTTTCCTTAATTTTGAGTTCCTATTATGCATGGGACTTGTTACCCTAACTTTCATCTTATAACTTTCTTCATATCTCCACACTAAGTTCATGCAAATGTTGGCCAAATTAAATGCAAGTACAGTTGTGCGAATGTTTGTCGAAATAAATGTAAATGTTTTTCTTACTCCGAATGACTTAAACATATTTTATTTAAAACCTCCACTACACTGCACTTTGCAACATACAGTGCTGAAACGAATTTTGAAGACAATCAAAATAAACTCTGTAATAGAAAATCTCGGTACACTGCAAGTTATCGCGTGCCGTTCAGTTTTGGCATCTTTATTCGTCGTGTTCATTTGTACATACATACCTTCAGTTTCACCAACTTAATATTATAAGACACCCAACAGACCAGAACTCATGGCATTTACAAAAATATTTTACATACTGGTTTATACGTCAATTTTACTCAAATTCAGACTGTTATGCTGTCGTTTCTTTCGAAATCTTATTTTATTTGGTGTTGGTGTTCTAGTTACCAAGGCAAATTCTCTGTAGTACCAATTTTGGTAGGATATTTGACTCCAGAAAGAGAAGCAGTTTATGGTCAGATTTTCTCTCGATACCTATCAAATCCCGAGAACTTCTTCGTGATATCTTCTGATTTTTGTCACTGGGGTATGTTAAATTTTGCCTTATTTTAGTGTTCTTAGGTATTTTGCTACTTTAATGCCTAACCAAGTATTACTGTTGGTATTATTAATGTAACTATCCTATAGAAAATACTTTAAGCTTTCATTAATTGAGTGTTAGAATGAGATTTTTAAGTATGTATGTAACACTAATCACGAAGCCGTGATGTCTCACTAGACTGTTTCACTTGAGACTCAGAACCCCTGTAAGACCTGTTGTTTGAAGGCACGTTAGGCAAAGCTTTGTCAGTTTCAAAACGATTTAGCACAGTATGCATTTTCCGTCAAGATTTTCGACTAGCATAACTACCAATTTGTTTTTTTAGTTAAGAAGCTCACTACTTGTGAATTCTAAACAAGTGTCATTTTACTGCACAGGTTATGTAGACGGGCGTAAAATAGCATACTAGTAGCAGGCCAATTTTCGTCTAAATAGTGCCATTAATTACGTCATTCTCTCGACAAGTTCGTGGACTACAATACGTATTGTAGACATTGATGTGATTCCTTTCGATTTGCATAGGAGAATTTAGGTATCTCTTGGTATCATCAGTTTTAGTGCAAAAGGCTGGGTGTACAATAGTGCAACTTAGGGAGTTCCTATAATTTGTGAAATTTAGTCTTTCAGCTTAAAATGTTCTGTAGCGTTTTAGTTTGCTCGGCTTTACCACTAGCAAATACATCGTGTCCAGTTTCATCATTTTAAAAGTGGTGTTGATATCTAAAAATGTTTTGAGATGATAAAGACCATATTGTGAGTAGGGTCATCTTCGGATACTAATTTCCGTGAGGTTCATGCTGGGGACGAAACCTGGTTAAAAGGAAGTATGTATTTAGCCTGCTGGTGATATGAAACCACATGACAAAAGTCACGTTGTGCTACCATTTGTTAGCAAGCCGCAACTCCAGGACCAGTGCCTTACAAAATTTTTCATTCTGTGGGTAGAACACTGAAGAACTCTTAAACAGACCAGCCCCACTGAATCCACCGCACATAAAAGCATTACACATATACCTTCCTATAGCTGTCACTTTACTAACGATCGAAGAAATCAGTATGGCCACTAGACAAATCAAGAGTGGAAAGACGGTATCTGACAATACACAAGCTCAAGCACTGAAATCAGACATAAAAGCAACTGCAAACATGCTCCACGCCCTTTTCAGGAAGATTCGGAAGGAACAAGTGCCGACAAACTAGAAAGAAGGACACCTTATCAAGATACAAAGAAAGGAGATCTCAGAAACTGAAATTTGCAGAGGCATTACACTATTATCAGCACCAGGGAGTTTTCAACAGAGTGTTGCTGAACGGGATGAAAGATTCGGTGTACGCCGAGATTCGAGATCAACAGGCCGGATTCCGTAAGGATCAGTCATACACAGACCATACTGTGACATTACGGATCATTGTTGATCAATTGACTGCATGGAATTTGTCACTATACATCAACTTCCTTGACTATGAGAATGCGTTTGGCAGCGTGGATAGGATATTATGAAGTCTTCTTCGACACTATGATGTACCTGAAAAGGTCATCAACATCATTTGGGATTCACATGATGGACTACACTGGAAATTTGTGGGTGGGAGGCAGCTGACAGACGCTTTCCAAGTGGAGGCCGTTGTCAGACAAAAATACTTGCTCTCTCTCCCTTTTTTCTGGTAGTTGACTGGATTATGAAAGCCTCCACATGTCAGAGGAAGCACGAAATCCAATGTACAGCTTGCGTGCACCTAGATGATTTGGACTTTTCAGATGACCCAGCCCTTTTACCCCACACACGCGAACAAATACAGGTCAAGACAAACTGTGTAGCAGCAGTCCATTAGTACGCCTCAACATACACAAGAGAAAAACCAAGATCCTTAAACACAACACGAAGAACACCAACCCAACCATACTCGATAGAGAAACTCTGGAAGATGTGTAAACCTTCGCGTAGCTGGACAGCATCATCGATAAACGAGGGGGATCTGATGCAAATGTAAAGACAAGGATTGACAAAGTAAGGGCCGCATTCCCTTAGTTGAAGAACATATGGGAATCAGAACAACTCAACCAATATCAAAGTCAGAATCTTCAATACGAGCGTCAAGACAGTTCTACTGTACGGAGTTGAAACTCAGAGAACTACCACAACTATCATCAAAAAAGTACAAGTATTTTAAGCAATTGTCTAGAAGATAAAGACCAAGGAGCTCATTGTGCCGAGAATTAGAAGCATACATCAAGAGAATGAATAGCAACTGAAAAGGACTGTTCAAGATAGAGTTCGGTGAAGAATCCTTGTGGGCGGCCTACGCTCCTTCACGACGGGTAACAGGTGTAAGTAAATAAGAATAGAAAAATTAACAAACACGCCTCTGTCATGAAAAGCACGAATACGTAATTTAAAGATGAGTTACGCATCTCAGTCAAGCCAGTTCACTTACTGATTTTCCTGATTGATTAACTGTTAGTTCAATTCACTCAAGTTTGGGTCGTGTAGTAAGAAGACAAAGATTATCAGAACTATGTGATATATTGGCGCAATACATTTTGGACAATCTGACCAAACATATACTTCTTAAGAACATTTATATACAAAAATGAAATGTCGACTAGACAAGTGGAGGGTAAGAGGAAACAAATATAGTAAGAAAATAATGTTAAGAACAATGAGACTCACCGCGCTGTATAATAAACTAGTATTAACAAGGTGGGCTTAAGGTTAAAATAAAGGATCGGATTTTCATACACCTTCGATAAGCTTTAGTAGTTGACCTATTATGTCTGTGTATAAATGTTCTTAACAAGTATGTGTGGTGATAAATCAGTCTTGCTAAAAATCACCTCAACCTCGGAATAAAAATTAGTGGCAACTCTATTTTTAGTTTCTTATGTTGTTCGGAAACAGCGGTTTCCTTTCATAAGAAATAATTTCAAGATTGTTGTCTTATTTGGATTCTATCTCTTACTATCCTCACCTATTGGTGTTATCATGTGGTTCTCTTAAGGAAGCACTGCACTTGATGCTACACAGATAGATAAATTGGATCGTTGACTCATTTTTCAAATATTTTTGCCACAACGAATAGTAGCATCTTAGACCATCAAACAGGTCCTAATTTGTTTGTATCTTAAATTCAAAGTAATCATGTAGTATAGCGGGTTGTTACGGCATTTCTCGAAATCTTTACATCTGTAATAGATTTTAAAGTAACTTTTATAGGCATGTTTTAATTGAAATCAAGCAATGTGATGAGAAACAATCTAACATGAATATAGAGTGATTTCTCCAGACAATCGTTAAGTACTAATTTGTTTCTTACCTGCAGGAAAAAGGTTTCAGTACACCTACTATGATCAAAGTAAAGGAGCAATCTGGCAATCCATACAAGCACTTGATGAAACGGTAAGTTACCTATCTTTTAAGATTGTATGAGTAAATTAATGACTTAACGTTGTCAGTAACAACGTCAAGTAATGACAGTTGGGTAGATTCATCCAAGTAACGTTCACTAAATCAATCTTCATCCACCCTATTCTTTAGGCCAGTTTCTCGTTATATGCATTTACAAAATGCGAAATATGGCATCAGACACCTTTTTCGATCTCTACTTACATATCCAGTTATATGCAACGTCCGGTCATTGCAGTCCGCATACTGAAGTTTGAAAGGGGGTTATCTAGACACGCAATTATTTGGTATAACGATACAAACGACACCATTAAACTAATTTCTCTTTAAATTAGAGGTGGTATTGGAAAAGTAGATTTTGCTTTACTTTACAGGGAACTATTACATGTATTTTCTTACCATTACTTAATAATTGGATTATGTTTTCGTATTCTGTATTCTAAGCTTCTGATAGATTCAAGTTATTATTATTCCTCTCTTTTTTCAAGTTAGTAAACTATGATTTTCTATCTATAGTTTTTTCGCATCTACTAATGCGTGTATGTAAACGGATGATTGGTTTACATATAGTAGAGGGTTGTCTGCTTATTGTGTTCTATGGATTCAATAATGGGAAATTGTGCTTCTTAGGCCAACAGGCGTTAAGAATTATGTAAGTCACTACCTCAAGGTTAATTGTTGACAGTCAGTATTATTGGTTAAACCTTATCTTTGATCTATGAGTGAAAAGTATACTCGGTCTCCTGAATAGTAAACCGGCTTACATTGTTGGATTCGTGTCTAGTGATTCTGGTCAAGAGCAATCAAGGATGCAACACTTCATCGTACCACTAGCAGGAAAAAAGCATTCACACCGTCCCAATCACATTGGCAGATCCAGGTTTAAAATCCTTGTCCAAAAGGATGTATAACATCAATAGATTGCCATTAATTATATGATAGAGTCAGAGGTTGTTGTTGCCACAAATGATTCGGCTTTACTCTGAGAAGACCTTAGCTACATGATAATTTTCATTACTATCCAAAACTAATATCCAGACTTCTTTTTGTTTTACTGTCGAAGCACAATTTTCTACTGTCCTTCAATACATTAACAAATTCGGCTCATTTAGTGTTACCTGGAATGATAATAATCTAATCTCATTCTGTAGTTATCTGAAAACATTTCTGCCATATAGATGCTGTGTGGTCTCGTTGATACATAGACCTCCAACCTAAAAATCATCTAACAATGCAAATCATTTTTCTATCCATCACATCTGTCGTAGGCAAGATGATGGTTTGTAAATGACGCATCGTAATACGCAAATCAATACCTGGCACATTTGTATATTGATTCAACTTGTCACCCCCCTTTATTGGCATAGCGAGATAAAATTGTCAGGACGAATTCCAGAGTAACAGATATAACAAGTATGAGTGGTTATAAGAAAGATTAAGGGTTGAAGATACGATACGGGAATAAATATGGGCCAGTGGAATAAAAAGATTTACCAGGTAATTTAGAAACTTGAAATCTAAGGAAAGACAGTGAACGGATTGTGTACCATTGTCAATAATTTTGAATCCCTAACCATAAGTTACGATAATCACGCGGACCCCAACCTAGCAGTCTGCATCTACTTACACTAGTCAGTGTACTGATGACATGTCTTGGTCCTTAGATTTCTTTGAACCTACTTCTACCACGGCTATCATCGCAAGTCGGGGCAATAGTTGTTCTGTCTCGCTCAATGAAGATTCACTTTACCATTCTTACCTGGTATTTTCAAAATTGCTAATTCGATGGTTCCAAAATAGAAGAATGATGCCTCGAACACACCTATGATTAAATACTGAAAAACCTTCAGATATCCTCTGCTTTTAAAGGTCACTTTCCTCAGCCATAAAGTAGCGCAGAGCGAACTGCCATACAGTACACCCGTTTTTTGGTTGACAGACAAATATCTCGTCTGTGCGAGAAGTGATGAAAGCTGGCAAACGCCAGTTCATTAAATTTAAACTGATTCAGTGCGTTGATTCTTCTATTTTGGTGGAGTTCTAGATGGTTCGCTTCCTGATGAACTGTGACTGAGAAAGCAGAAGCCCATATGGTATGCACCATCCTTACACAGGTGATAGTGTCAATAAGACACTCCGATTTCTACTGAAAAAACGAGCGAATTGCACAGCAGTTTGTCTGTTGCGCCATCTAAGAACTAACTTCAAAATGTGTATTTTTAAGAGTAATTAAACGCATTATTTTTTGTGGCTCTCGGTCCTTTAAACTTTTAGGGAATGGAGTTAATTGAGCGACTTGCTCCTTCTGAATTTACAAGTTACTTGGAGCAGTATGGTAACACCATATGCGGACGACACCCGATAGGCGTATTACTGCAAATCGTTACGTATTTACGCAGGAATATGCCCAATAACAATTTTAACATGAAGTTTGTACGATATGCCCAATCAGAACACTGTAATAATATGAACCAATCATCTGTCAGTTATGCAGCTGGTGTGCTACAAATATCTTGATATAAGTAACTTTTCCTGCATATTATAATATGTGTATCGATGTTTACATTAAAGTAAAAAATCACAACTTTAGGGATTGTTAATTTTACTTCAATATATAACAAACTTTTTCTTACGGATACTTTTATATATTTACTCACGACTGACTAGAGCACATGCAGTGTAACTCACTGATGAATCTTCCATTGACTGGCAGCGGTTGGATTGTGTATAGTTTAGGATTTTAAGTTCCAGGTTAAACGGTTGCTTCTGTCGAATACAGTCTATCATAAATAAGAACACGCCTATACTTCTCCTGCCACATATAGTGTTCCTGTACTCTTCAAGATATTTTATGAATGATTTCGGTTTCAGGCTTCGAATCGCATTCAAACCCTGTGAAATATAACATTAGATTTAATTATAGTTGAGAGGGATACAGTGTGAAAATAAAAATACTGCAGCCACTTACGAGGTGATCGAGTTTCTCAATAGACTGCCATATCGCACCATCGGATTTATTGTAATACTGATATCGAAATCGTTTCCCTGGAAATAAAGCATACGAGTGATTAGTTTACTGACTGTGGGTATCATTTTGAATCATACTAATCATCACTGAGAGTGAATTGTGTGACTTGTTGTTTGACTTTGACCATGCGTATATATTCCTGACAATAAGCGCGTAAAACGAGCACTTATGATGTCCTCGTATATTTATTTAAAAGATTCTAGCATAAAATGTACATTTAAACAAGGCTAGATAATTACCGAAGTATTATACATACTGCTTGGAAAAGTGTTTAGACGGCCGTAGAATTTCGTAACCAAGGTTAACATGATGAATCATTAACGATTATTTAGAACAACGGACGAAACTACGTAAAGGAATACCGCAAGTTACCATTACTCTCAGCCAAATTAACCATTATGTATACTGCTTCAAATAAACACAAAAATATTGCGTGGAAAATGTAACAAACCCCAATGACAGAAATCAGAAGATATCACAAAGAGATTCTTCTCATCTAGCATATAGCTCGATAGGAGGTTCCCGAAGAATTCTTGTTTTTCGAATGATAAGCAACCGACAACTATGGGGACTATGGAGTACTGATCTTTCCTACTTCAAAGCAAGAGTAAAAGTAGACATTATTTGTATTAAACTCCAAGATGTTGGTAAAGAAATGCGAATCACATCAATGTACTTACCAAACTGTAATCTGGACACGATAACATGTCTCATGACCCGATATTGTTTTATTTGAATCTTCCCATTGATGTTTTTGGACTGAAATTGATCAGTCTCTTATTGGCATATGTGCATACTGTGCGTGTGCCTCGATATTGCCTTAATTTACAAGCATTGTAAGCAAAGATGGATAGTGGCTAGCAGTGGAATCCAGGACGCGCGTTTCGTCCTGTTTGGGACTCGTCAGCTGTATGTACCTGCATCTCAGAGTTGATGTTCACTCTGGGACTCGAACTCAGTACCGATCGCTTCAAACGCCATCGCGTTATCCACTTAGCTACTGAGTCCTGATAGCCACTTGCTTGTGCAATGGGTTGTACAATGCTTGTAAATTAAGGCAATATCGAGGCATACGCACAGTATGCACATATGCCAATAAGAGACTGATCAATTTCAGTCCAAAAACATCAATGGGAAGATTCAAATAAAACAATATCAAGTGAATTCAACTTCAACCCATTGCACAAGCAAGTGGCTATCAGGACTCAGTAGCTAAGTGGATAACGCGATGGCGTTTGAAGCGAACGGTACTGAGTTCGAGTCCCAGAGTGAACATCAACTCTGAGATGCAGGTACATACAGCTGACGAGTCCCAAACAGGACGAAACGCGCGTCCTGGATTCCACTGCTAGCCACTATCCATCTTTGCTTACAATGTCTCATGACCATTGGTTTCAGTGTTAAACTAGGATGTCACCGATTATCACAAATAATTGTCATACTGATTTGACTAATTAGTATTAGAATGTAGGAAAGCGCATTGTCACCAAAACACTGCGTATTTCCTACTAGTATGATTAATTTTTAAGTTTACAGGATATTATGTCTGCTGTCACTAAGTCGTTTACGGCCTAATATTTCTGCGTACCACCTGGGCGGGTTCGAAATCAAAATATTTCGATAGGAACGAAAAAGCATTTCAAAAGCGGAAAGCTTAGTTAACCAGTTTTGCCGTCTAAAAGTGACTATCATTTTAAAAAAAACTGTCACTGAATACAAATCAATACAACGAAGATACATCAAAAATGAAATAACGAACTTCCTACTGAATAAAGTTGGGTGGGAGAAGTTTGCTTCTAACCAACTTATGAGTTTTAAAACTGATTATCTCATACTAAAAGTATTTGCGGATTTCGTATCCCCAACGCAAAATGAAGGAATATCCGTGAATATGAATGTGGACTGTGGTCTTCAGGAGTGTTTCTTGTATAAATTACAGAGGATCTACTACTTGACGTATCCGCTGTGGACAAGTTTCATATAAACCACGTGGATAAAGGCTTGGTATGTCTTATGATCTCGCTAATTTGTTAAAGGTATTTAAGTCATATTAATAGTCTAGAAAATCATCACACGGGAAAGCTTACCGTTTCATGATGTGAGCAATATACGGTAACTGCATTTCTACAGAATGCTCAGCTTCGTCCTGACTCTTTTCAAGAACGCTGAAGCAGTTGAACTTTTTAAGGCTGTTGTATACTGAAAAAGGTATTAAATTAACTACGCTTACCATTGGTATTAATCTTTAAGTTATAAAACGGAGTTTCATATTCAGATACAGAAGTCAGAGCACATGTATTCCCAATATCTAAACGATGTGAAGGGCCTATGATAAAAATGCATTCTCTTTGAAGAAACATTTAACTAAAGCACCACTTACATTTTGTCAGGATTTATTAGACGGTATGCGTGGGCCGCACATAAACCAGAATGTCGGTAACCTGCATGACTTGATACTTTTATTAGTAAGAATAATATCATACGGTACTATAATTGCCCGGACTGAATTTGCATTTGGGACGTTCTTTTCACAACTTTCCAACCAAGTGTTTAACTGTGATGACAACTCTGTTCCTAATTATGATTAGTAATTGTCTTGCTAATAGTCGCTCAACTGTCTGCAGTATACCAGCTTCCAGCGTGTGAACTAACCCGGACGGAACTGAGAGTCGTCTCCATTCAGTGCAAATTGTTCATAAACTTCAAATACTATCTCGTATTGACGTACTTAAACCTAAAGCATTAAAAATTCCGTAAAAGGTAGCAAAAACCAAAGGTTGGGTGGAAAAATGGGAAACCGGTTGTTATATCAGGAGAAAAACCGACCAGTACAATTCACAATGCTTGATGATGAGATGGGCACTAGTTAGGTAAGCTGATGACAAACATTTGTAAGGTCAGTACGTTAGTGAAAAAAAACATGCAGCACTACGCATCCTCCATGGATCATAGGAACAGTTACTATTCGTATGGGGCTTGGTAGCTACATTGAAATTTACAGACGCGTGCTAGCTGTACTGTCGTCAGTAATGAGAGTACACTTTGGCGGCCGACCTCGTCTTTGTTAGCCTGCCGTAGCCACCTCTGAGTCTTCAGTAGCATGAACGATTTTGTAAAATGAGAAAAGTTGTTAATTTTTCCTGCCTTAATAGCACGCACTATAAAAGCCTGTCTAACTGTATCTCGACGTATATTACACTACTTTAGACCTTCACATAATTCTTAATCTTACTAAGGGTTAGTTGTTTTACTCATTTATTGGCGTTTACTCACAACCATAAATGGTTGAATTCAAGTGGTAGCTTCCGGCTTTGGTCTCCCAGGCTCCCAACTTTGGCGAAAACTATTTCATTTTGGGGATTTCCCCAAACATTGGGGAAGGCTATTTCACTTTGGGGATTTCCCCAAAGCTGGCAGCTTGGGCTTGTTTAGCTATCAATCCTGTAGTGTCTTCAACTCACTCAATTTTATTTACATCCTTGCTATACTAAGCTGATGTATGTTCAAAAGAACTTTCAGCTAGACTCATCTGTGCACTATTATAATAGTATCCTTAAAAGGATACAAGTTGTAAGGAACTCATGAAAGCACAACGAAATTATCAGAGGTTCCACCATATATGACTTTGTATTAACACACGATGATAATGTCAGTTAAACAAAATTCTTCACACCTACGGGGAGAGGTGACCAATGTCTCATTCAAATTCTTGGCACAGAAAAAACGGTAAGCTCCATCAGATCTGACCGCCGTTTCATTCCAACGACCTTGAACAGCCGAACAAAAGGCGGTCATTCCGTATTTCAATTGCCGAAGATTTGTTGGGTTGTACGAGTTAAAGTTTTTCCATATTTAAGTCATCTTTCGCCGCAATAAAAAAGCATTAAATAACTGCCAAAAGAAATAATTTAGCGTTCCCTGTTTCGTAGTGAACACGTCGACTATGTTGTTGCTCCGTAACTTGATCTGTGATCTCAATTGCTGTAGTAAACTTCAACGAAATGTCGTCACCGGTAAATCTTACATACTTGCTGAGATGCAAAACCAATACGCGCTCTCTAATGAAACCTTGAATTCAATATATAGGGCTCTAAATGTCCAATACCATTGAGGCTTGTCAAGATTTACACCTTTCGCTCTTCTGTCTTGACCTCATGAGCATATTTCTGACACATTGTACTGTTTATCATATCGGCACATCATCTCTGTTGAGAAAATCTAGGCAAATTTGGTGGGTATATAGATTTGAGATTCTGCAGATAAGTGAATAGCTATTCACATAACCAAACTAGGTTTGCTAAATAATATGAAGGATTTTACACCGATTTCCAGGGTTTCATATACGAATTAGAATCAATTAGTATATTTATAAAACAGGAAACAACACCTTTATAGTCGAAGGATACCAACCCAGTCAAATCAGGAGTCAGAAATGGAGGGTTCGAAGACATATTTGAAAAGCTATCGGTATGTCGAGAAGCCCTCGGTC